GAAGATTGGAAAATTCCACTAAAGTGGAATTCTTAGAAATTCCACTACCAGGCTTTTTTTTTTCTTGCGATCCTTACCTGGGCCCCCTCCTCACCTGCGACCTTGCCCTCATAAATCACCTGTAGCCTGTAACAATTAGTATACCAGGCTGTAAAATAGCTTAGAACCCTGCCTCATTAAAGTTAACCCTGTTGTGACTGTGCCCCTCCTCCTCTCCTGCCCTGTGACCTTTCCCCTCATAAATCACCTGTAGCAATTAGTGCACCAGGCTGTAAAAATAGCTTAGGACCCTGCCTCACTAAAGTTAACCCTGTTATAGCCGTGCCCCATGCTTTATATACCCCTTAAGCAGAGTATATAAAAGACTGCAATGCTCTTTGTCTGGTGCTCAGAATTTGGGAAGAGCAAATTCCCCTCTGAGCCTTGCCGGCCGTCTTATAAAACCTGTATTGCCAAAATCTCTGTGTGTGTCTCTCGGTCTATTCTCGGTCAGCCCTGCCGTAACACATTTACTTAAAATTTTGCATAATACAGGAACCTTCAGAAATGAAGACCCAAAGACACAGGGAAAACTCTGTTTTTATGCTAAGGTTCAATGAAGAGCAGACAGTATGTAGAAATGTGATTAGATAAGAGTATGGTCTACTGGTAATAGACTTAGGTGGGAAACTTAGCAAGCCCTGTTTGTTTAGATTCTTCTTGGCTTCTCTGTATAGCATTCCTTCCTCTGGGGTATGGGGCAGGACCCCTCTGGAATGAGGATCTTTAAGAGACAAGACAGAGAGTGACATTTCTAAGTTTTATGTCTTGCTTTGGAGGAGAGGGGTTCTAGTTTCCATGACCCACCTTGGGGAAGAGGGATTCTGGTTTCTATGACTTGCTTCAAGAGAGGTGAGAGACAGGAGGGCAAGACAAGTTCAGCGAGACCTTCCAATCTACTCAGCATGCCAGTGGAACAGAATAGAGAGCCGAGAAATAGACCCACATAAATATAGTCAACTGATCTTTGACAAAGAAGCAAATGAAATACAATGGAGAAAAGTAATCACCTTTTTAGGTACAATACCAAAGTTGTGATCTAGGGAAGAAATAATTGATAAGTTGGACTATATTAAAATTAAAAAAAAACAAAAAAACTTCTGCTCTAAAAAAGGCATGGACAAGAGAATGAGAAGACAAGCCACAGACTGGGAGAAAATATTTGCAAAAGACACATTTGATAAACAGCATCCCTTCCATCTTTCTCCCTTTACTGAGGTCCAGAGAAGCAGTGCCTTGCTCAAGATCACATAGTGGCATAGCTGGGTCTAAAACAGGGTTTCATTTCTCCCTTTCTGACCTACGTTTTCAATGGTAAATAGCCCTTTGTTGTCTAAGCCCCTCATTTTGTCAAGGGTCTTGGCTTCCTCAGAAATAGCCCTCTTTGAGCTAAAAATAGAAATACCATTCGATCCAGCAATAGCACTATTAGGCATCTACCCAAAAGAGCACAAATCATTCTATGATAAAGACATCTGCACCCGAGTGTTTATGGTAGCACAATTCACTATTGCAAGGATGTGGAAACAACCCAAGTGCCCGTCAATCTGTGAGTGGATTATTAAAATTTGGTATATGTTTACAATGGAATATTACTCAATCATAAGAAACGACAGTGATCTAGAACCTCTTATACTTTCCTGGATTAAACTTAAGCTCATTATCCAAAGTGAGGCACCACAAGATCGGAAGAATGGGCTCCACTTGTACTCGCCATCAAATTGGTACTAACTGATCAACACTAGGGTGATCACATGGCAGTAATACTCTCCAGGGATTAGGGGGATTGGGGTGGGGGGTAAACCAGCAACTAAAGGTCATGGGGAGCATTGTAGGGGGGAAGGGCATGCCTTTAACCCTCGCTTGGGTGAGGCAAAGACATAAAGTGTAACCATAATGTTTGTACCCTCATAATATCCTGAAATAAAAAAAAAAAAGAAAGAAATAGCCTTCTTCCTCTCTCCTCTCATCAAAACTATTCAGCACACTCCCGCTCTAAAGAAAAGTGACTGGTGAACAAATTTACACTCTGAAGTTAATGATCTACAAAGCTTAGGATATTTGCATTTCCAAAAGATTGTTAGAGATATCAGTGCTTTAAAGACCTGAATTCCTGACAAGTGATGCTGGTACTGGGACCTGGCAGAGATCCCTCAAACCAGAGCCTCCCCAACTCAATCATTCTTTCTCTTTTCTTCCCTTGCAGTAGTTGCTTCCCTTCCCAGGCTTCCTCTTCCTTCGAATTTGGCAGCTGAATAAAGTGCCTGGAGTGGCTCAGCTCATGGGGAAGTGGCTGTATTGAGGAAACCCTAGAAAGGACAATCACAGGGATCCACTGATCCTGTGGTCAGGATATTAAGAGGAAGAGAAACAAAACCCAACCAAACAACACAAAGAGAAAACAGTGCATTCTGAATCTAGTGGCTGGAATCTGAGTGTAAGTAGAGTTGGAGCGATTTGTGTTTATAGCATTTATCTGCCCTTTCCAAAATGGTCTATAAACACCAGTCCTTCTGGAAGCAGTGAATAGACTCTTCTAGTTTTTTAATAATAATAAAGATAAAGACTAACTTTATATGCCAGATTCTGTGTTAAGCATTATTTATAGATTTTCTCATTTAGTCTTCACAACAATATTATAGGGTGAGTACTCATGAAATCTCCATTTTACAGATGAGGCAACGGTACTTAGAAAGGATGACTAACATATCCAAGACTGCACAGCTTGTAGGGGAGGAGGCTTTTGATTTGGGTCTGTCTCCAAAGCTTCTTAGTCACTGGGCTTTCATGATTTTTGAGTTATTCATATTGTACTTTTCTCATTGCCAGAATACACATTTTATATCAAGCTATCCCTTTCAAAGAATTCTCCTTCCTGATTGGCATATTTCAGATTTAATAAATAGTGCGCCCCTATATTTGTAATCATTTTCTTTTAGAAACATCTCCTTGTATTTTGTGCTTTCACAGCTGTGATGGGAGAGAGACTCATTTCTGTTTTGGTGTCCCTGGAAATGCTCTACCTAACTCTGCGATTATCTCCTTTTATAAGTCGTCCAAAAAATGTTGTCTGGTTCTTTCACCTCAGTGAAGTGGCTGGGAGTGGTATCTGGAGCCTGAGACAATTCAGGTAAATAGCATGTGCAGTGTGCAGAGCTTCCTGACCACTTTCATATTGTGGCACACAGAGAAAACCACACAAGTAATGTTGTAAACAAATGAGGCTGCTCACAGTCAGGGGCAACCATTCCTAGGCCTGAGGGCCACTCAGTGGTTCTGTTCACATGGCATGTAAGTGGTCTCTGCACACCAGGAAGCGTCTCTAGTGTTGTAGAAAACATGAAGTCTTTAGCATCAGGCAGACCTGGTTTCATATTCTGACTTCGCCACTTACTGACCCTGTAGCCTTGAACAAATTATTTTAAATTCTTCGAAGCTAAGTTTCTTCATGTGAAAATGGGTATGATAATATTTATATTCTGGGGTTGTTGTAAAAATTAGAGATAGTATAAGTCAAATGCCTGCTCTGCAGTAAGCATTCATATTAATTTTGGTTTCTCAGTGTGATACCTATATATTGTTCTATGCTTTTCCTTCTACTGATAGAAAGTATTGATATCAGCTTATTGGTGTCTCATCTGGCAAAAAATTTTTTTCACTTAAAAATCAGATAACGGCTGGAAGTAGTTTGGAGTGTAGGACGGGGCCACCAGTAAAAGCATGTGGCAGAGTGGATGGGGCTGCTGAAGGTTTCAGAAGACCATCAAGAGGGAGAACAAGGTTGTACGTATTATTTCCTTGAGTATTACTGCTGGCTTCCTGAGAGGGTGAACAAATGGTAATGAGGATGATGACAGAAAGTAAGAAAAGGAAATTAGCATTCACTGGGCACCCATGTTATAACAAGCACTTTGCTAGCCCTCATATTCTCTTTTATTTTCCCAAAACCTTGAGAGCAGTGGTTCTCAACCAGGGACAATTTTATCCCTCAGGAAACATTTGCCAATGTCTGGAAACATTTTTGTTTTCACAACTGGGGAGTGCCACTGGCATCTAACGGGTTGAGGCCAGTGATGCTGCTAAACACCCTACAATGCTCCAGGCAGGTCCTCACAACAAGAATCATATGGCCCCAAATGTCAATAGTGGTGAGGTTGAGAAACTCTGCTTGAATAGTAGGCATGATAATCTTTATTTTTGTAAATTTGAAACCTGAAGCTCTGAGAAACCACCTGGCATTCACACCTAGACTTAAGACAGCTCCGAAGCCCATGCTCTCTCTCCGTGCCATAGCCGTGAGAACGGTGATGGGAACAAGGGGGCAAAAATGACCGAGATAAAGAACCAGGGCACATATTCATGCTCAATAGATATGGATTGAGATTTTCATTAGGTGAATGAATGAAAAAGTAAAAGAATGAATGAGAGACGGAAGTAAGGAGGAGGAGTGTGGTCTTTCTATTGCTACCTTGACATACCTCCTTGTCTTTGTTCCACAATCCAAATTAGTCAAGGGATTAAGATAATAGAGAAAATAAAATGGTGATGTGTGGCCTTGGACTCCTATGCTCAATTTCAGGAATCCAGATCCCAGTGCCTTGGTCTTCAAATGGAAGTAGAAGTACTGGAAGACTAACTGTGCACTGTTCTTCATCCGCTGTTCTAAGGAGGACGGAGACTGAGACAGGAGGTTTTGAGCTGAGTTTGGGTGACCATTTCCCTCTTTCCTAAGGCCCCAGGCCAGCTGTGGCCCCGGAGGAATAAGACGGGAGTTGTTTCTCAGTTTCTAAAATTTCCATGTATTTGAACATGGACTGAGCCAGATTTATTTTTGGAAGCCCTGAATCTTTTAGGAGGGAACAGTTGAGAGGAAAGAGGGTGGAAGGGGAGGAGCCTAGATAAAACAGAACATTTCTTTTTCACTTCCTCTTTTGGACTCCAGAATTTGTCTGTCCTCTGAGGTAGAGTCTGCCAAACCTCAAGAGAAGCTTGTGCCTGCCGTGCTGTGGAGCCAGCTCACTGCCGAGACTGATGGGCATCCCTGCATTCCTACTCCTCCTTGCCACTGAGAGCGGCTGGGCTGACTGCAAGCCCTCCCAGCCCTTGGGCCCCATGCTTCTGTGGACAGCCGTGCTATTCCTGGGTGAGTCAAGGCCCCCAGGAGGAGAGAGAAGCAGGAACGCCTTGGTTGGGGCTGACCTTGGGCAAGGATGAGGGGTAGCATGGGAAACACGTCAGGGAAATCAGGAGGGGGAGGGCAGACTGGTGAAGATCAAATTCTAACAATTCTGCTGGCCTTGGAAAGTCATAAAATTGGCAGTTTGGGGTTTCTTAAGTGTCTTTTACCCAGTGTCACTGGGCACCCAGGTGCTTGATGCTTTGCCACCCACCACATCAAAACCTGCCCCGAGGAATGTCGAGTAACCTACATTTGAATGGCAAATGAGTGGCCAGAGTGTTTTCCTTCTTTGAAATTTGTGTTGTACATGGGACCAAATCTTAGGCAGGAGAGCTAGTGCTGCCTTAGACAAGGGCTAGGGAGGAAGCTATAAGATCTATTTTGGTGAGGAGGTAGCAGTAGCCATTCTCTGTGCTTCTGAAACCACTCCATGCAACAGTAACCTATTCTCTTTATGTATAAGGAGATTCCCCTGGGCAGAAGCACAGGAAGGTCTGGGTTATCTCGGGAGTGGGAGCTCTGAGCATATGCAAACCAGGGTAACTCTGGAATTGTCAGTTGTAGGACCAGAGAAATCACACATGTCTCCTTTCACTGCACAGACCCTGGGGGTAGATCCTGGCTCTGATCAAGGCCAAGATGAAGGGCTATTTTCTGACCATGTTCTCAGCTGTGGGCCAGAGGACAGGGAGATGGTGCTGGGTGGTTGGAAGAATCTAGGGAGGCCGTGTAGGGGAGACCTACTGCCAGGATCACCTCTGCAAGCTCAATTCCTGGGGCTTCCATCCTCACATCCCAGAGGACGGCATATAGCCACTCCCCCAAGTCACGTGCTATGATGGATAGTGAAATCTGGTCAGCTCTGGGAGCCCTTGTCCCTAAATGCTAAATGATACTGGGCTACAGGAGGCAGAAGTAAGGAAGAGAGAGTATGCCCCCATGAATAGGATAGAATGGATTAAAGTAGAATAGAACATAAAGTGAGTACTGAACTACCTAATTTTTCCCCTGAGGAAGCTTAGGCCTGGAGAGGCGATGGGCTCTGCTAGCTCTGCTAATATAAGCACTGCACACTAATCAACTGCACAACTAGAGCTCCAGTCTCTGCTAGTAGTGCTACCTGGGCAAGACTCCTTGGAGAGACCTTTGGTATTTTTCCATCTGCCTTTTGCTAAGTCACCAAAGATCTGCTCCATCTTATCCATCCTTATTGGGTTAACTCTTCATCACTTGATAACTCAATTTTTACAGCACTCCCTGATCAGGTCTTGATTGCTCCTGTCTCCCCTTCCCTGCATCCTTGCTGTACGCTGAGGCCACAGCATCTCTAGGTCAGCTCTGGCTGAGTCACTGCACTTCATAAATGCCTTCCACACTGCTCCACTGCCTACTGCAAAAGCTCCAATTTTACCCTGCTGACTATGCTCCCCATTGCACCCCAAATGGATCTTCGTCTACAGCCAGGCAATGTGCACAATGCACTTTCTGTTTCCAACACCTTTGCTCCTGCTGGTTCTCCAGACTGCCTTGTTCTCCAAACTGCCTTGTTCTCCTTTAAACTTTACATAAATTCCATGTGTAGGCACTGTTTGAAGACTTGGGGACTTATCAGTGAGCACGACAGGCAGCTTTCCTGATCTGAATTCAGTACAAGGTCTTTGTCTCCCTCACAATGAGTACATTGGGTGGGAACATATTTAGTATTCACTACTCTTTGTTGTATGTGGAATAAATAAATGATTGGTGACTTCTCTCTCCCTTTCTCATTTTTTCTTGTTTTTTCTCTTACTCTTCCCCTTCCTCCTCTTCTTTTTTACCCACTCTCCTGCTGCACTTTCCCCCTTGCCAATCCTATACACTCAGGCTTTTAGCTATTACTTACTATGTCAATAACTCCTAAACCTATTTCTCTTGCTTGCTTCTGTCAAGTATAATTTCATATTTTGACCTGCTGGTTGGACACCTCCAAATTGATTTGCCACCTCAGACACCAAAACATACCCCAAATCCAACTTATCATCTTCCCCCTACGAATGTTCTTCTTCTCCTAACATGTACATTGCATGAGCACAGCTACACTTTCCTAGTCATCCGTTTAGGTCAGCCCCGCATTCCATTAAGGGCTAAGTTCTGTCTGTTCTGCCTCTTACATTTCTCTCAAACCTGTATCCTCTTCTTGACTTCCTATTGTCAATACAATTTTGGGATCTCTTATCTCCCACCTAGATTCATCCAATTAATGATTTTCAGAACATGAGCTCATAATATTAATATGGCTACTGCTACCATTGAGCTTACATACTACTGAGGGATATGAACAACAAATCAACAAACGAAAAGGCATAAATACAAATTGGAAAGGGCTGTGAAGATGCAAACAGGTTACTGTGAGAAGAATAGCTGCGGGAGAGATGAGAGGGCAGCCTACATAAACAGGATGATGTGGAAAGAGTTTTCTGAGGAAGTGACATTTAAGCTGAGACCTTAAGCACAGTAAGGATTTCACTATTTGAAGATCCGAAGGAAGCATGTTCTGGGTAGAGGGATCAGCATACAGAAAAGCCCCAAGTTGGAAGACTTTCAGAAGGACCAGTGTTACTGGAGCTCAACGTGTAGGGGAAGAAACTACTCTCGAGACGAGGCTAGAGAGGTGAGCAGGGACCCCTGTCAGATGTGGCCTTGGAGGCTGTTGCATTTTATTTTAAGAGCAAAGGAAGCCACTGATGGATTGTAAGCAGGATAGTGACATCATCTGATTTTATTTTTAAAAAAAGAACTCTAGCTTCTCTGTGGAAAATGGATTAATTATAGGGGGAAAATAAGAAGTGAGAGGACGAGCTAGGAGATGGGAGAAAGCTGATGGTGACCTAAGCTGAGTGGTGGCCACAGAGGGGGAGACAGTTCAGTGGATTCAAAATCTAAGTTGGAAGCAGAATCCTGGTGTGAGGGAGATGGGGGTTGGGAGACAGAGGAATAAAAGGTGGCTTGAAGGTTTCTGGCACGAGTCACTGGATGGGTAGTGAAGATAGACATCGACACGGGGACGATGGGGAGAGAAACAGAATGTGTGTGCTTCATTTGATGATGTGAAGTCATTGGTGATTTTGACAAGAAAAGTTTTAGTGAATTGCTGATGGCAGATCCAAATTGCAGAGAATTAGATAGTGAATGGGAGGAGAAGAAACGAGGACAGCCTATGTGGGAAAAAAATGGAGAAATTTAGTACAAAATGGAGCAGGGAAATGGGGCAGTAGCTGGAATTATCTGTGGAGTCAAGAGACAGCTTTTTTTTCAGTGGAAGAGCCTGGAATGCATTTACATTAATGAGAAGGTGCAGCTGAGAAGGAGAAATTGATGATGCAGAAGAGAAAGGAAATAATACAGAGGGAACTCGTTGAGAGGATTAAAGGGAATGAGATACAGGGTACATGCATAGAGACTGACCAGACACAGAATGAGAGATATTTTCCTCAATGAAAGGCAAGGAAGGAGAAGACAGGTAGAGATGCAGACAGGTTAGGAGATTTCACTGGGGGAAGATGTGAGATCTGTCTAACTGCTTTTGTTTTCTCCATGAAGTATGAGGAAAGGCATCAGCTAAAAGAGAGAGGGGACTGGAGGCAAAGGGTGGCATGGGAAAGTTTGGAGAGTGAGGAAAAGACAAAGGACACTACTAAGAGTAGCACAGCAAATTTGTTAGAGAAAAATGTCAGAACCGCAACTCGGTGTCCTTTTGAATGTGGTGATCATAACTTTACTGGGTCCACAATCTGCCTGCTTGTGTGGTCATTTCAGTAAAGGCATGGGGAATACAGGTGCATTTGGTGGAGACAGAGAATGGCAAGGGAGTTAAGGGGATTTGCAAAGAGGTGATGCTAATGATGCATCATTAAATCCAAGCTGTTAATAGATGGGGGGAGGCGAAGGCAAAGAAGGGCTGAAGGACAGACAGTGGTGAGGTGATGCTTTGGGGTTCTTGATGAGGTCAAAGATGATTATGGGGCTGTACTTGAGCAGATGAAATGGAGGAAGAGGAGGTTGTGATTGAAGCATGGGATGTTTGATTTTGTGATTTTGGCGTTGGTGTAGTTTCAGGCGATGATGACTTCTTGGGTATAACATGGGCATGTGTGTCTAAGGAAGAAAGTTCATCTCCAAAGAAAGTTCGTTCACTGGAGATGAGTAGGTCAAGGGATGAAGAGGCCAGATGTTTGCTAGGTCATCCACATGTTCTGGATGACTGCAATAGTCCCTTTCTTAATTGAGCTCTTTGGTATTTTCCCTGTTCCAATCTAGCTGGCACAGCACTTTCAGCTCCAGTTTGAAAATTTTAAGTGACTTCCCATTGTTTACTAAACCAAAGAGTAAATGTATTAAAAGTTAGCTTATATTTATTTAAAACTTACCATGCACCAGGTAGCACGCTAAATCCCTCATTATCTCCACTTACAAGCAAAGAAACTGAAGCAGAGAAAAGTAATTTGTGCAAGGTCACTCAGCAGTGGGATCATCACTTCAGCTCAGGATGTGTTCTTACCCACTGTCATGTCATCTGGCATTAGGAGCTCTCCAGAGTATGGCTTCTAACTTCCTTTTCAGCTTTGTCCCTCATTATTGGAGGTGCTTGAACAGAGACCAGAAATCAAGCTGAAGTTGGGCTGCAACTTGCTGGGAATGTTGATAAGTACCTGCCACTCCTTCCCATGGAATACCTCTTCCTTCTCTGCCAAAATCCTATCAGTCCTTGGAGGTCCGTGAGGAATACCATCTTCTCCGTGGGATTCCTCTCCTTACCAACCCCAGAGCCTGGCAAGCACAGAGCACTGGGATCTTTTCCTCCTCTGAACCTCCATAGCTCTTTTTCTGTATTCCTCTAATGGCAGTAAGCATGTCTTTTCTACATTAGATTATGCACGTGCTTATCTCCACAATTAGATTGCTAGCCTCGGCGAAGGCAGGGACTTATATTCTTTTCCACAGATTTAGTGTCCTTTGCCTTGTCCTACTCCTTCTCCTATCAGATGTTTCTAACAGCAACACACTGGCATTCCTAATGCCAAGCAGTAGGAATGTTAAATAAATCATGGGAGAGCCAAATAGTAGGATATAGTGCAGTCATTAAAAATGACAATATAGAAACAGATTAATTCTACTAGACCTTGTATTGCTTAGAATAGGTCAAAAGAACAGTTTTTATAATATATTCTCATTTACCATTTATGTTTCTCTGTATGTAAATAGTATATATATTATGTTTTCATAGGAAAAAATCTAACAGGCTGTATGCCGAGGTGATAATATTTTGCTCCGGTGTATTTTCTATTTTTCCACAGTGATCGTGGATTACCTGTATAATCTCTACCCCTCTGCCCCCCGAAAAGAACAAATCTTGCTCTCAGGATAGACTCTGGAGAAATCATTTACACTGAAGCATAAAGCATATGTAAAGCCCAACAGGGAATTCTTTCCGGAGCCATTTTTATTTTAATCAGTCAAAAGTAGTAAGCCAAAGGAAGGTGTCACAAAACAGATGCAAGAGGGTATTATATAATTTTATTTTATTTTCTTCTGTTATTGGGGAAGGAGATCCCAGTCCTTTTGAAACTGCACCTCATCTAGGCAGTCCCAGGGGATGGGGGGTGGCAAGGGTTGAGCTGTAGGTGAGGGGCACTGCGGGGCAGGGTGGGCATGTTTCAGAGCAGAGGTTTAGCTCTGGGCTCATCTTTGCTTTCTGTCTTACAGCTCCTGTTGCTGGGATGCCTGGTAAGTACTCCACCCACATCCTCTCCTTCCCCCAGCTTCCCTCTTCTTCTCCTGGTGCCCTGTCTAGAGGTTCTCTGAATGCGCCAGGAACCAAGCCCAGTACCAGGTCAGGGTCAGGAAAGGGTAATTGCTCCCGGAAGATGCCCTGCCTCCTCTCCCTCTTTCCTCGTTCCTTGCCTTCCTCCCTTGGAGGCAGGTGGTAGGCAGCCAGGTACACAGGGGCGTCGCCGCTTCTGGTTCTGGTATGGGGAGAGGTCATAGGCTTTGCCACAGAAAATGAGAACTCTGTCCTCTCTTTCAAGCACCTTCAACTCTCCAGATAAAATGAAGAGCTTCCTCTCTCCAAATAAAATGCAGGCACATGCAAAATTACATGATCTGTTTAGGCTATCCCCAGGTGTTGATAAATCCTCTATTTTGTGCATATCTCAAGACTTCAAGGCCTGTTCTCTGACAGAGTCAGAAGTCTCTCCACGCCTCTGGCTGCAGCTTGGTGGAGGGAGCTTTGCTGGGCCCTTCTGTATCTGCACCACTCAACGTCCCCACCCCAGGACTGGCCCTCCAGCTTTTCTTCCCCTCCCTTTATCCTTCTGAGGCCACAGAGACTCCTCTGTGCTTGGGTGCATAGCTTCAAGTGGCCTGGTGGACAGGCCATCTTGACCTCCTTTGTAAGGGATAAAGAATGACATTGGGTCAGAACAGAAACCTGATGCCTGACTCTGTACCTGACATCTCCACCAGAAGTGTCCACTTTTCTCCAGCTAGCTCTGGAGAAAGTTCCTCTACTAATGTCCAAATGCCTCAGTTTATAGGGAAGCAAAGTGAATCCCACAAGAGTATGTATGTGTGTGAGTGTGTATGTGAGTGTGTGTTGAGTGTGAATGTGTGTTTGTGAGTGTGTGTATGTGTGTGTGTGAGTGTAAGTGTGTGTGTGTGTGTGTGTGTGTGTGTGTGTGTGTGTGACAGAGAGAGAAAGAGACGCTGGTTAGGATAGTGCATGCTGAAGTATATGTACTTCTGGGGTGTTTCCCTTGCCCTCTCCTTCCCAGGATCAGTGGAGCTGCGAGTACCTGGGTTCCCGGGGGCCCCTGTGGTGGGCTGTACGAGCAAGAGGAATTGCCTTTGGTTGCAGAACAATTCTAGGCCTCGCTCCACTCTTTGTGCCCCAGTAGGACAAGTGCTTCTTTGTCTGAGATTCAGGGCCTGCTCAAGCTCTTGGGTTTCCTTCTCTTAATGCTGCCTCCTCTCTCTGCCCCTCAGAAACTCTCCCGAAGGCTGTGGTGAGACTTGAGCCCCCGTGGGTCACCGTACTCAAGGAGGACGATGTGACTCTGACGTGCTGGGGGGCCCACACTCCCGGGAACTACTCCACCCAATGGTTCCACAATGGGAGCTCCATTCAGACCCAGGTCCAGCCCAGCTTCAGGTTTAAGGCCAAGACCAATGACAGCGGGGAGTACAGGTGCCAGACGGGCCAGAGCAGCCTCAGCGACCCTGTGCATCTGGATGTGTTTTCCGGTCAGTGGAGGAAGGCCCCGGGGAGGATCTGGGAGGACTAAGAGAGATGAAATCTGCTTACACTGCAGAGATTTGCAGGAAAGGGGGGTAGCCTGTTTACTGAGAAGCATTGCTGTGAGTTGCCCACTCATTTCCTGTTTCACCCACCCTCTTCGCTGAGCATGTGTGGTGGGGGTGGAAATTCCTAAGAAATTCCTCTGCATATATTAATGGCTATTGTTGCCTCAGTCCCAATTGAGCAAAAGCGTTACAAGGCCTCAAATGGGCAGTTGAACATGAGAAAAGCAGAAGGAAATCTCTACTCCATAAAAACCCCTTCTATTTTTATGGTAGAGTTGAAAAGCACAACAGACCACAACTGAATCCTAGTGCTGGAAATTGCTAGTCATAGAAACATGACGAACTCCTTTAACCCTTGAGTCTCAGTCTCCCCATCTGCTCAATGGGGGTATAATGCCTCCTGCATAGGGTTCTGATGAGAATTGGCGGCTCCCTGCTCCCCTCCCTGCCCTCCATGCCCCTTCTCCACGTCTCATGCTGCTGGCTGCTCTTTTCTTTCTCTTCCACCACACTGTGGGCAAACTTGGGGAGAAAGTTGTGTCTTATCCATCTTTGTATTTCCAGCACCTTAGGACAGAGCTTAACACACCTTCGCTGAAAACGTGGATGCTTTTACAGAGCTCCTGGCAAAAGTAGGCTCTCCATAAAAAAAAGTTACAATGGGATTATGACGAATATTGTCGTTGTTACTCTTCACTTAGTCTCCTTCCCTTTCCTGATTGCCAAATGTTCCTCAAAAGTACACAGCAATTCACTGCTGCTTTCAGCAGTGCGCAGAAAGGGCCTCCCTCTCCTCCTCAGCGGCAAACAGCCCTCCTTTTATTGGCCAGGACTATTTTTTTTTCTATTCATGAAGATAAATGCTAACACACGTTATCACTTTAAGTCATTGTTAACACTCCTCTGATATACATGTTATCACCTTCCTCTTCAACATGAGGCTTATGCAGCCAGTCGGTAGCAGACTTGGGTTTGCAGCCAGGAGTGTGACCTCAAAGCGTGTGCTAATTAGCACTCCGTTATGCCGTGGGACAGCACAAGGTTGTGATTCTTTATACTTAGAATGTAAAGAATCTGTGTTAAATTGCATCTGTAAGTGAGAATGATGGAGGGGTGCGTGTACCTGTGTGTATTTGGGTGCCGTACCCATCCCCCATTGTCCCTGGGTCAGTTGCTCTTGACTCTTTCAGAGTTCACCTCCCCTTTGGGGAGAAACTTCTTAATAGGCACAGGGTTTTTTCACTGGCATGATGGACACGTTCTGCAACTAGATAGAAGCGGTGGTTGCACAGTATTGCGAATGTGCTAAATGCAACTGAATTGGTCACTTTAAAATGGGTAGTTTTATGTTATGTGAATTTTACCTCAATAAATTATTTTGTAAAAATTAAAAAAAAGTACACAGCAAACTAATGATCCAGACACGACACGGCTGCCTTCAGACAAAGACCCTGCTGAAGCGAAGCTCCACGTTTACTAACATTTCTCAAGTAAACGTCTCGAGTAGCATTCATCAAGGAACGTTTACTGCAGGTTATGACTTTCTACTGTCCCCAAAGACATATGTCTCTGCGTTGTTCTGACGTGTCATGTACTCGGTCAGACTGGATTTCTTCCTTTGCTTTCCACAACCGCCTCTGCAACCCCCACCTCTGCCCCAGGGAAGGGACTGCTGCATCTCTGGGTCTCTTGTGTTCTTCCTGCAGAGGCCTGTCAGGCAGGACAGGGCTGTAGCTACCTTCTTCCAGGAAAGGAAAGAGAAAATGTGCATATCCTGAACACCTGCCAGGATCCATCCTAGATACATGGCATTGTCATGCCCATTTTCACAGATGAGCAACCTGAGGATTCAGAACAGTTAAATAACTTGCCCACGATTATAAAGCTGATAAATGATGGAGCCAGAATTAGAGTCCAGGACTGTCTGGTTTCGAACTTAAGCTGTTCCCTCCACACACCATGTCCCACCAGTAAGGATGGTCTGGGTCTCAGAGTTGAGCCAAGATCTCCTGGGTCTTGTGGTCTTTTTGTGTCATTCAGGGTGGCTGGTGCTCCAGACGCCTCACCTTGAGTTCCAGGACGGGGAAACCGTCATGCTGAGGTGCCACGCCTGGAAGAACAGGCCTCTGGGCAAGATCACATTCTTCCAGAATGGAAAATCCAAGAAGTTTTCCTATCTCAATGCCAACTTCTCCATCCCACAAGCAAACCACAGTCACAGTGGTGATTACCACTGCACAGGAACTATAGGACAGGTGTCGCGTTCATCCCAGTCTGTGACCATCACTGTCCAAGGTATGGGAACTCTGCCCAGACATAGGGAGGGAAGAAGAGGGGTGAACAAGGGCTAAGGTTGCATGGGCCTACGTGGAGATCTGAGAGAAGCCACAGCAGCAAAATTGGGCACTGAGGCAAAGAGGAGAGGGGCTGAGGCCTTGCTCAGTATTGGCCAGTGGATGGGAGTAGGGGTCGGAGCTTAGAGCCCTCAGCTTCCAGGTGATAGATGACAAGGCTGTTGTCCCACTTTGCAACGCAGGCCCCGTACTAAGGACGGCAGTGAGGCTGAGCTCTCCCATTGGCACAGAGGTTCCCTAAGCTCCTGGGCATTCCTAAGGGCTGAGGTTTGCCTCGTTTCTTCTCATGTCCTGTTTTATGAACATTCACTCTGGAAGGCCTGGCGTGTCCTGGACTGTTCTAGGTTGTGCTCGATAGACCAGTGATGCCTCTAGGGATGGGAGGCTTCAGGCCCAGCCTCCTCACTGTCTCTGAGGGCTAAGGGGGACCGTCCCTCTGCTGGCACACACTCCCTGGTGTGCCTTTATTAGTGTGGTGGAGAAGCCTGGGTATGAGGGAGGCACAAGTCTAGCCACGGAAATGATGTACAGGTGAGGTTGGGGGGTGAAGTGAGTATTGCACCCCCAAGTGACTCAGACACAGAACAACTCAGGTGACAAGCCCTGGGGGAAGGTGGGGAGGATGGAGGTGGCACAGGGAGAGTACCACCTGTCCTGAGGTCTGTCTTCCCCAGGGCCCAAAGCGAGCAACTCTTCTCCGATGGTGGTAATTGTGGCTGTGGTCACTGGGATTGCTGTAGCGGCCATTGTTGCTGTCGTAGCAGCCTTGACCTACCGCAGGAGAAAGCGGACTTCAGGTTTGTGGCTTCCCTGTACCCCTCTTCTTGTTGGTTTCTGCTTGGGTAAGCACCAATGCCAGATATTTCCAGAAAGTCTATCTTTGGGCTAGAGAATTGCTTATCATTTAGATATAGACCCATATTTCCTTCATTCATTCATTTATTAATCCATTCATTCAACAAGACTTGAACAAACTTGCTCATGTGTCAGTGCTAGATGCTGTGGGTGGTACCAAGATAAAGACGTCCAGTCCCTGACCTCAGGGAGTTCTCAGCATTGTGGGGAAGACAGAAGTACACGCAGATCATTATAATAAGGTGGGATAAGAGGAGTGATAGAAAAATGAAAAGGCTATGATGAGGGTACAGAGGAGGCTCCATGGCCCAGCATGGGCTGTGGTGATTCGAGAAGGTTCCATGGGGGGCAGTGTAGTGTAGTGATGGAAGCACACGTGGTGGGGCCAAACTGCCTGGGTTCAAGTCTCAGCTCCACAGCTCACCAGCTACCTGACCTTGTTACTCCACCTCTCTGTGCTTCAGTTTCCTCCTCTGGAAATGGGAACACTAATAGGACCCACCTCACAGGGTTGTTATGAGGATGAAAGAGGCTGAAGCTCTCACCCCAGGGCGTAGTAGACAGTGACAGCACATAAGTAGGAGCTGTGGCCATCGTGGAGGAGGTGGTGAGTGAGCACAGCCATTAGATAGGCCAAGAGGACACTCCAGGCATGGGGCCAAGGCACAGAGCGAGGACCGCTGTGGCTCGGATGAGGGCTGAAGGAAGAGTAAGCCACTGAGGAAGAGAACATAATACTACTAATACCTCCCAGAGCACTTTGCAGTGGGTTCATAGGCCAGACCTCAGTTACTGAGGATAAGTCAGTAGAGAGACTCAGAGAGAGATACCGACAGAGGTGTGTTCTTAAAAGGAAGAGCAAGCCTAAGAAAGACACAATGGAGTGGCTGTTCTGACACTCCTAGGAGTCCCCACCAATGAGCTGAATTATGTCTTTCTGGACCATAATTCAGTCTAGGAAGTCCCTGGCGGGGGAACAGGGGAGTGGGGAGGAGAGGTGGTGTCTGTGAGAGGGATGGTCTGTGTTGTTCCTAACCCAATCCTGCCCCTTGTCCTTGGTCCTGAAGTCTCAGGCCCCACCCATAATGCTACTAACTTCCTATGTGCCCCTCCCAGCTCTCCCAGGAAACCCTGAGCACAGGGAAATGGGAGAGACCCTCCCAGAGGAAGCAGGTGAGTACAGCATTCCATTTGGGGATTCAGTGATGCCCCACCCAGAGCTGCCAGATGGCCTGGAGCCAGCAAGGAGTGGCTTGTGTGAGTTCAGCTGGGAGCCAGAGAGGGAGGGGCAGTGGGGAGGGCAGGGACTCAAATCTCTTGGTCAGTCCTGAGTCTAACTCCTGGGCTTGAAGAGGACCTTGCTGGAGATGGGAAGAGGAACCCTGGTCCCAGACAGAGAGCGGAGGGCTCTGTCTGAATTTTTGGGGCCAGAAATCTGGAGATATTTCCAGAGCAGGAAACCAGAGATATTTGGGTAGAGTAAGTACGGCCAAGGGCGATAGGATTCAAGAGGTAGGAGTCTAAGAGGAAAGAAGGAGGCCTAGGGAAGAAACGCCAGATTGCTGAGGAATCTGTGCCTGTGGAGCGATGGGGTAGGGGTGGCCGGGCTCAGCTCGCCATGGAGCATGAAGAGGAGATTGGGGATTGAGAAAGTTCTGGGGGACTAGGGGCACTAGTGGGCTTTACTTTGTGAGCAAAGCTGGGTTCTGATGCTCACCCACTCGTGTAGGTTGATTGAATTTCAGCCTGGTTCTGCCACTGCCGTACCATGGAATCTTGAGTCATCTCACTGAGGAAGTGAGTGGGTGGCCAGGATGACCTCTAAGCCCTTCTAGGTCTGACGTCCTGAGAGCCAGTGACCATCCAACCCCTGGCTCAGGTGGGAGTGTGTAAAGGAAGAGGATTCCAGGCACCTTCCTGACTGTAGTTAAAGTCAGAGCACAAAGGAAACTGGAGCTTTCTTTGGGGGCTTCCATGACAGTAGAAACCAGAAAGAAAAAGAGCCCTCAGGGACTGCACCTCAGATGGCTGGAGCATGACTCAGAGCAGCGCCAACAGATTTGAGAGCTTGTGCAAAATATCACTCATCCAGCTACGCTTTGAGCAAGGTCTGCGTGTCCGGTGGTCAGGCCCAGTGGGATATGGGCCTGGGTCCAAGCCAGAGCCAGCTAGATATAGAAAACAATCCAGACACAACTGGATTATCCACCTGGACATGTGGTTCTGAACGTATTTCACAAGGCATCTGTGCAGCCAGGCGCTGGGGCTGATGGTTTCCCAAAAGGCATAGCCAGGTTGCTGGGATCACTGAGGATTGTATGAGAAGGGGAATTTAGAATGCGGTTTGTGGCAGAATTTGGAGCATAGCAAATAAAGGTTCTTTGTGTCCAGAGCATGAGAGAAAAGACTAGATGCATTGTTTCCGACTCCTCCCCAGCTTCCTGAGAAATGCTGATTTACAGACACTGAGGTTGCTTTTCACAGTGGCAAAGTGAGTTTATGGCAAAAACACGAGGGAATTTGGTGTTTTGGACATTTACCAGAGTAGGTTCTTTCTTTCTGTCTCTTTCTTTCTCTTCTTCCTTCCTTCCTTCCTTCCTTCCTTCCTTCCTTCCTTCCTTCCTTCCTTCCTCCATTTCTCTCTGTCTTCTCCCTCTTTCTCACTCACTTTCACTCTCTCTTTCTTTTTCATGCCATGGAGTGCCAGATTATTTAAAGTTCCAACTAACAAGCACTACATTTGGACAACGTAGAAATGGCCCTCAGTTTTCTCTCCCTGAAGCCTGTGGCCAGAAAATACCTAGAATACTTCATTTCGATACTGAACACCCCCAACCTCTTTCCTAATATCTTGGATCCCCAAAGCTGCCTGGGTTGCTTCTAGGAAAGCTCAGCAACCATCTGAGTAGAATGAGGCACAGATGACTGCTTCCCTTTGCCATTGTGGCCGGTGCGGAAGGCTGTGTCTGGGACACCCCAAGGGTGTGTAAATGAAACCATCTTTACCCAGCGCTTGGCTGACATGCCTGAGATGGGGCAGCAGTCTGCTTTGGGTCTGGTTTGGCCTTTGGTTTTGCAGCATCAGCACTGGCAGGCCGTCTTCTAAGCAGTGCCTTGACTGATCTGTCTTCTTTTCGCTCACAGCCAATCTCACTGATGCTGAGGAGGCTGCCAAGGTTGAGGTGGGTGATGCCAGCCATCTGCTTTTCCTTCTCCACCCTCCCTTCTCCCCTGATGCCTCTTCTGTTGCCTTCTTTCCTATGCCCTCTCTGTGGATCCCCATTGCTCATTTCTGCTTTCTCTAGGCTGAGAACACAATCACCTATTCACTTCTCATGCACCCGGAAGCTCTAGAGGAAGAAACAGAGTCCGATTACCAGAACCGCATTTAGTCTCCACTGTCTTGCTCTGGGATTTGGGAAGAGAATCAGAAAGGCGAGGATTTGGTGTCTCCTGGCCTAAATTCCTGTTGGGTAGGACAAGGGGATGCTGCAGTTCCAAAGGAGAAGGACTCTTCCCGAGTAATCTGTGTGAGTCCCGAAGCTCCCTGTCCTGAAGCCATAGACCACATGGTCCTGGATGACTGACTGCACCTTCTGTGCCTCAGCGCTTCTCAACATCAAGACTCTTCTATTACACATCCCCACAGCCAATAAGATTAGTAAAATTACTGCTATTAAGAGATTGTAGCAACATGGGAAATGCTTATGTTACAGGTTACGAGAACAATTATGTAAGTTTATATGAATTCAGAAATGTTAAAATAGATTAACCAACACTGATACATTAAAAGTGATTTTTTCAGAGTGATGGAATGATTGATGATTTTAATTTTCTTTCTTTATTTTTCTATAGAAATCTTATATTATTTTTATGATAAAATATTATAGAAACAACATACTGTTCATCTTTTCAAGGCTATATTAGTTGAGTGTAGACTGAACTATCTGGAGTCTCTTTCTCATCAATGATAAGAATTTTGGGAGGGTGGTAATATATAGGATGTGGGGGAGAGGAGAGGATGGAGATTTGGAGTGTAGGGTGAGTGCTGCTTTTCTTAAAACTGAATTCACACTCTGGGAGGCCGAGGCGGGTGGATCGCTCAAGGTCAGGAGTTTGAGACCAGCCTGAGTAAGAGCGAGACCCCCGTCTCTACTAAAAATAGAAATAAATTATCTGGACAACTAAAAATATATGTATAGAAAAAATTAGCCAGGCATGGTGGTGCATGCCTGTAGTCCCAGCTACTCGGGAGGCTGAGGCAGAAGGATCGCTTGAGCCCAGGAGTTTGAGGTTGCTGTGAGCTAGGCTGAAGCCATGGCACTCTAGCCTGGGCAACAGAGTGAGACTCTGTCTCAAAAACAAAAACAAAAACAGAAACAAAAACTGAATTCAGTCATGTGCTTCATAATGGTGTTTAGTTCAACAACCGACCATATATATGACGGTAGTCCCATAAGATTATAATATTAATATCACATTTTTACCTTTTGTATGTTTAGATATGTTTAGATGCATAAATACTTACCATTATGTTACAATTGCCTGCAGTATTCAGTACAGTAACATGCTGTACAGGTTTGTAGCCTGGTAGCAATAGGCTACACCATATAGCCTAGGTGAGTAGGCAGTACCATCTAGGTTGGTGTAAGTACACTCTATGATGTTGGCACAATGACAAAATTGCTTAACAACACATTTCCCAAAATGTATTCCTATCATTAAGCAATGCATGATTGTACTCTTTTGTGTGTGTTTTAGAAACATTGTTATCATAAAATTGAGATCATATTGTACACTTGAGGATTTTGTATATTATTTAAATTGAAGTATAATTTACATAAAATGGAATTCATAGATGTTACGTGAGCATTGTGATCAATTTCGGCGGAAGTATACCCATCCTGTTGCCCCACCCGCTACAAGCCATACACCAAGAATGACATATTAGAACATTTCCATCACTCCAGAAAGTTCCTTTACTTCTTTCCAAATCAGCCTCACTTTCCTTCCACCCTCCAGGGCAACCACTGTTTTGGTTTCCGTCACTACATACTGGTTTTGTCTGATCTTGAACTTCATATAAATAGAAACATACAGTTACATAGAATTTTGTAATCTGTTTTAAACTGAGTAACATATGTGTACAATTTCCATTTCAGTAATATTTACCCACAACATCACTTTCAGTGGAAAAATAATATTGCTTTTTATACATGCACTGCACCATATTTATTTATTTAACCAGTTCCTATTGATGGAGATTTCGATTTGCTTTATTCTCTCTCTTCCTCTCTCCCTCCCTTTTTTCCCTCTTATTACAAACAACCCTATTATCAATATTATTATAGGTAAATCTTTGCATATGAGGTTTCATTGTTTCTGTAGGCTACATTCCTAGAAGTGAATTTGCTGTGTTGAATAAATGCCCATCTTAAGGGATGTTGCCAAATAGTCCCTAGAAAGATTGTCTTAGTTTATTTCTGTTTTTTTTTTTAATTTCAAAATATTACAGGGGTACAAATGTTTTTGGTAACATGTATTGATTTTGTTATGGGTCAGGGTTATAAGTGTGCGATCACTCAGATAGTGTTCATTGTATCTATTAGGTAGGTTTTCACCCATCCCCTCCTCCCTGCTTGATTTCCACTGAGGTTTACTTCCCTCTGTGCACATGTGTGCTCATCAGTTAGTTCCAATTTAATAGCGAGTACATGTGGTGTTTGTTTTTCCATTCTTTAGATACTTCACTTAGGATAATGGCTTCCAGTTCCATCCAAATTGTTGCAAAAGGCCTTAATTCATCTTTCTTCATGTGTGTGTAGTATTCCGTAATATACATATACCACATTTTGTTAATCCACTCATGAATTGATGGGCACTTGAGTTGATTCCACATCTTTGCAATTGTGAATTGTGCTGCAATAAACGTTCATGTGCAGGTATCTTTTTGATAAAATGACTTCTTTTTCCTTTGAGTAAATACCCAGTAGTGGGATTGTTGGTAGGTCTACTTTTAGTTCTTTGAAGATTCTCCATACTATTTTCCATAGAAGTTGTACTAATTTGAAGTCCCACCAACAGTGTATAAGCATTCCTTTCTCTCTGCATCCACACCAGCATCTATTGTTTTTGGACTTTTTAATCAAATCCATTCTAACTCAGGTAAGGTGATATCTCATCATGGTTTTAATTTGCATTCACCTGCTGGTTCGTGATTTTGAGCATTTTTTTCATATGTTTATTGGCCATTTGTCCATCTTCTTTTGAAAAGCTTCTGTTCACGTCTTTTGCCCACTTTTTTAATGGGGTTGTTTGTTTTTTTCTTGCTGATTTACTTGAGTTCTTTATAGATTCTGGTTATTAGCCCTTTATCAGATGTATAGCTTGTAAATATTTTCTCCCACTCTGTAGGTTTCCTATTTTCTCTGCTGCTTACTTCCTTAGCTGTGCAGAAACTTTTAAATGTAATCAAGTCCTACTTATTTATTTTTGTACTTGCCGTAATTGTCATTGGGGTCCTCTGTATAAATTCTTTGCCTAGGTTGAAATGTAGAAGAGTTTTTCCCACATTTTCTTCTAGAATTATTATGGTTTCATGCCTTACATTTAAGTCTTTTATCCATCTTGAATTAATTTTTGTGAGTGATGAGAGATATGGATCCTGTTTCATTCTCCTGCATGTGGCTATCCAATTTTCCCAGCACCGTTTATTGAGTAAGCCTTTTTTTCTGTCAGGTCCAGCCTCTTGGCAGACTGTTGTCCTGGTTCTTTGGCTCCTTGCTTGGAAAATTCGCAAGCAGGGCTGGTGTGATGAACCGACCACAGACAGGAAGGAATTCCACACAAACAATTTTTATTGCAGAAAAGAAGGGAGCTATGCAAAACGAGAGTACATTCCAGAGAGGAATGGGTCAGGCTCCACGAATGGAGAAAGCTGTTGAGGACTCCCAGATAATTTCCTTTTATTGGCCTAGTCTGGGGGAGGGCTTATGGGAGGTTTGGGATGTTACCAGATAATTAATATACACGATTGATAGGTGTTCTTATAACAAAGTTGCAGCTCCACAGATGTGTGTGCCTCAAAACCTCAAGTTCCTGCTCTTTGCAGTTGTTAGCTGTGTTTTCCTGCAGTCCCTTCTCCCCCTGCCCCTACCTGGTTTCTCCACTGCTAGGAACCACCCTCCTGGCCTGTATCTGCCATCTGCAGATTTGGTTCCTGCCTAACATTTTCCCTAATGTATATTGTTGTCTGCTTTGCCAATGATCATTTGGCTATATGTGGATGGTTGTATACCTGGGTTCTCTGTTCTGTTCTGTTGGTCTATGTCTCATTTTTGTGCCAATACCATGCTGTTTTGGTTACTATAGCCGTGTAGTATAGTTTGAAGTCTGGTAATATGACGCCACCAGATTTGTTCTTTTTGCTTAAGATTGCTTTGGTTATTCAGGCTCTTTTCTGGTTCCAAATGAAGTATAGAATTCTTTTTCCTAGATCTGTGAAATATGGTGTTGGTATTTTGATGGGGATCACATTGAATCTATTATTAATCACTTTGGGTAGTATGGACATTTTAACAGTGTTGATTCTACCAATCCACGAGCATAGTGTTATATGTTTTTTCATTTGTTTGTGTTGTCTGTGATTTCTGTCCTCAGTGTTTCATAGTTCTCTTTGTAGACATCTTTTACCTCCTTGGTTAAGTATATTCCTCAGTATTTTATTTTCTTTGTAGCTATTGTGAATGGTATTGAATCTTTGATTTGACTCTCAGCTTGACTGTTACTGGTGTATAGGAATGCTACTGATTTGCGTATATTGATTTTGTGACCTGAGATTGTGCTGAATTTATTTCTTAATTCCAAGAGTCTCTTAGAGGTGTCTTTGGGATTTTCTAGATATAAGATTATATCGTCAGCAAAAAGTGATAGTTTGACCTCCTCTTTACCAATTTGGGTACCCTTTATTTCTTTCTCTTGCCTAGTTGCTTTGGCTAGGACTTCCAGCACTATGTTGAATAGAAATGGTGACAGTGGGCACCCTTGTCTTGTTCCAGTTCTTAGTGGGAATGCTTTTAGCTTTTCCACATTCAGTATGATGTTGGTTGTGGTTTTGTCATATATGGCTTTTATAATCTTGGGATATGTTCCTTCTATGCCTAATTTGTCGAGGGTTTTTATCATGAAAGTGTGCTGAATTTTGTCAAATGCTCTTTCTGCATCTATAGAGATGATCATATGGTCTTTGTTTTTGCTTCTGTTTGTGTAGTGAATCATATTTATTGATGTGTGTATGTTGAACCATCCTTGCATCCCTGGGATGAAGCCCCCTTGATCATGGTGGATTATTTTTTTTTATGTGCCGTTGAATTCAGTTTGCTAGTATTTTATTGAGAGTTTTTGCATCTATATTCATAAGGGATATTGGTCTGTAGTTTTCTTTTTTTGTTGTGTCTTTTCCTGGCTTTGGCATCAAGGTGATACTGGCTTTGTAGAATGAATTGAGGAGAATTCCCTTCTTCTTAATGATATGGAACAGTTTCTGCAGTATAAATATCAGCTCTTCTTTGTAGGTTTGGTAAAATTTGGCTGTGAATAGTCTGGTCTGTGGCTTTTATTTGTTGGAAGATTTTTTATCACTGCTTCAATCTTGTTGCTTGTTATTGGTCTGTTCAGGAGTTGTATTTCTTCCTGATTGAGTCTTGGGAAGTTGTGTGTTTCCAGGAATTTGTGCATTTCCTCTACATTTTCAAGTTTATGTGTGTAGACATTTTCATAGTATTCACAGA